TTGGTTTTGGGGGAGGGGGGGGTGCCAAAATACTGTTTGCTTACCATTGAAAATTACCTAGGGCCGCCTCTGATGACAGTCAACAGGGAGCTCTGACGTGGGCTGGTCCATGAGGTCACAAAGAGTCCGAAGAGACTGAATGAATAAACAACAAATTAGGAAATTGTGGCATTAGGAAGGTTGAGATCCACTGGTTTAATCATATTAATAATAAACTTTATTTATACCCCACCACCATCTCCCCAATGGGGACACGGAGCGGCTTATATGGGGCCAAGCCCGGACAACACATTACAGCAATAAAATCAGAACATAAACAACAAACAGTGCCACTGATGTCCACTGATTTGGGTTTAAAATCATCTCTTTTAAATCAAACTTATTGAGCTGAGCATCTTCCCCAATTGGTTCACTAAGATATGAGGCATGGAGAATGATTTAAATAATTATATGATCTATTCTATGAGATTGTTGAATTTTTGATTTATTGTTGTGTTACAAGCCAGTCTGCTATCACACTAGAGAAAATATCCCCTTAAAATCCGGTTTCTTCCTCCTGCAGAATTCTGGGGTTTGTAGTTTTAGTGAGGCTGTTAAAGGCTCCTTCCTAAATTACAAACCTCAGAATTCTGCAGGAGGCAGAAACTGGATTTTAAGTTGGGTTTTTTTCTCTCTAGTATGATGAGGCAGCTGGAGAGGAAAGCAGGATATTAATAAAAAATAACAATAATAGTCTTGCCAAAAGTGGAGAGGATGCATTCCCTAGTTCCTGGGGATAGATGTCGCTTCAGAGCCCCCCAATAAGTTATCTGGATTTCCAGCTGCCAAGGCAATCAAGTGTCCAAGCTTGAGGTGGAAGGAAAGCGAGTGCCAGGTCTGGAGGGGAGTGAACTGAGACTCGTGGCGGAAGAGAGGAAGGCAAAGAGGGAGGGGAGAAGGAAAAGCGAGGGAGAGAGAGAGAGCACCTTCATCCAAGTCCAGGAGGGAAGAGGCTGCACCTCCTGGTCCTTGTGCGTAAACTTTGAGCCATGCGCGTCCTGTGATTCAGCCCGGCTTGTCCTGAGGCGAGGAGGGGAAGAGCCCACGCCTCTCCAACAGCAGCCAGCAGTTACCCTTCCCTTGCTTCCAACTCAAGGAAGGAGAAACAGCGGCGAACTGGAGAAGAAGGAAGCCTCAGCCTTCCACTCCAGCAGCCCTTGAGTCTCGTCCGGAGAGGCATCGCATCTGAGCGCTGCGCCACGAGCCGGGATTTCCTTTCCGAAAGAGAGAAGGATAGGTAAGCCCAGGGACAAGATCCCAGAACAAGAGCCCCAACACAAGCGGTTCCAGGGGAATGATGATGAGGAGGAGATCTTTTTGCAGAGAACAGGTCGGGATCCTGCGGACCTGCTTGGCTCGCCTCTTCATCATTTATCCAGGGAGGAGGCAACCTGGCTGGAGAGAGCTGGCGCTCCCAGTAGTACAGAGTCGGGTTTTTGGGGGTTTTTTGAGTGTTCAGGGAGTAGAGGCGAGCCCCAAACCCAAAGCCTTACATTGGGACACAGCCTAGTTCTGCACTTCCAAAAATAATGTTTGAACTGCATTACATAATCAGTGCAGACCCATATCATGCAGTTTATTATATGGTTCTACACTGACCATATAATGTAGTTCAAACTGCATTGTTTGGCGGTAGAGCCAGCCAAAGGGGAGAATCAAGTCGGTTTTGTTGTCCTTGCTGTAAAGCCCCCAAAGAGCGGGTTTCTTTTCAGTACAGGTGGATTGCCTCTCCACGCACTTTGGTCTTACCTGCAAAAATGATTTCTGTTCTGATGGGGTTCTCTGTGATGCTCTCCCTTTTGGTGGCATCAAGTGGGGAAATCTTTACATATTACATATATCATGCTTTTAGGAGGAAAAAGCAAACAAAATCCAAAGAAGTAATAGCTAGTGTTTTGTAGTGGTTTGAGCCTTGAACTAGACCAGTGGTTTCCAACCTCTTTTTGACCAGGGACAAATTCACCGGGAACCTGTTGACCAGAGACCACTTGATCAGGGACCACTCTCCAACATTAGTACCATAAGGGTTATGAATCAGTTTTGGTCAACTTTAGAGTTGGTTTGGTTATTTGGGATGCTGATTCAGAAAATTGCATTGGATAGACCACATCTAGTTTCTGATACAGAACTTATGCCACCCAGTAGTCACAATCTGTTCACCCACAGAAAACCATATTTAATAAGCCTCAGCACTATAAGAGAGTTTTGCAAGACCAGTCACTCTCAGTGCAACAATGTAGTAACTGTGAGGCTGCAGACCATATTTTAGTTCTTGCGGACCACTGGTGGTCCACGGACTATAGGTTGGGAACCACTGGACTAGACTCTGGAGACCAGGGTTTGTCCACTCAGCCTTGGAAATCTTTTGGGTTACCTTAGACAAGTCATACTCTTGCAGCCTTAGAGGAAGGCACTGGCCAACCTATTCTGAACAAACCTTGCCAAGAAAACTCAGCAATGCATTTGCCCTTGGGTTGCCATTGGTCAGAAACAACACGAAGAATGTAAAAAGCAATGTTAGTTCACTGGCAGCTGTGAATAGGGAAAAGTGGTACATATCAGTTGGTCTCCAGGTGCTTTTTATCTTTCTGTCTCATCTAACTACCTAGGAGCCCCCGGTGGTGCAATGGGTTAAACCCTTGTGCCAGCAGGACTGAAGACCAACAGGTCGGAGGTTTGTATCCAGGGAAAGCTTGGATGAGCTCCCTCTGTCAGCTCCAGCTCCCCATGCGGGGACATGAGAGAAGCCTCCCATAAGGATGGTAAAACATCAAAACATCCGGGTGCCCCCTGGGCAATGTCCTTGCAGATACCTATTCTCTCACACCAGAAGCGATTTTCAGTTTCTCAAGTTATTCCTGACACTATATATATATATATATATATATATATATATATATATATATATTTAATAAATTCAATAACGCTGGGACTGGGGTGTAGAGAATAAACATTTGGGCTGAAACCAGCTTATAGTCAATTCACCAAGTCACTTTATAGTTTGTGTTGTCGAAGGCTCACAGGGTTTCTGTGATTTTTCCAGGCTGTATAGCCACGTTTTAGATAGTGGACATGATTATTCTTTGCTTGATGTCATGATTCTTTGCTTGATGTCAAACTTAGGCATGGAGAAAACAAAGAAATAACCATAAAGTGGGTTGCTGTGAGTTTTCTGGGAGGTATGGCAATGATCCAGAAGCATTCTCTCCTGACATTTCACCTACATCTATAGCAGGGAAGTGCCTAGTTTCCAACACACCTCACAACTTCTGAGGATGCCTGCCATAGATGTGGGTGAAACATCAGGAGAGAATGCTTTTGGAACATGGCCAGATATCCCAGAAAACTCACAGCAACCCACTTTATGGTTATTTCTTTGTTTTCTCCATGCCATGATTCATCAAGCAAAGAATCATGACCATCATATGTTACTGGAAAATCAGCAGAAGCATTTGCTTGGGGGAAAGTACTGAAATTTTAAATGTAGAGATGCCTGGGTGGAGGAAAAAACAGTCCTTTCGATCAAAGGTTCTGATGTTAGAGAACTCCAACTGTTATGAAAACTGAACGAGACATTATACAGAGTTCTGTACTTTTCATCCCTTTATTCAGTTCCCGCATCTATACTTCTCGCTCTATATCTAATCCTGGCTCTTTGCAAAATGGCCAAGATTTCCCTTTCCATCTCTCCAATGCACTCCACACAAGCAGGTACTTGAAGGGTGTTCTGTGAATCAATAAAGGCAATTTCAGTGAGTCGGAAAAAGCTGCAGAGAGAAGTGCAAACAAAGGAAAAAGCATCTTCATGGGGCAGGGAAGATAATTGTTCTGAAGTGCACAGACTGTGGACTTTTAGGGAGCAATTCAAAGTCTAATAACTAGCTGCAGAAATCAAAGTGCCTGAGGCATTGAATAGCTGTGCATTTGGATGGATTTGAGCAGAAACCTTTCTAGAATCCATAATGGGGCAAATAGACTTAGATTGTGAAGAGTGGTGTAGAGAAGATATTAAAACTAATACAATTGAAAAGTTGTGTCTTCAAGCAATCTCAGAGTGGATGCATCTGTGCATCTGCTAGGACAGAAGATAGTGCAGTTCACATGTATGAACATGGGGAGAACATTTCAGTTTGTTTACAAAATACCAGCATGACTAATGATATATTTGACCATTTCACCTTGCTCTCTCAATTCTGGGTGATGATGATGTTGCTGGCATATGGAAGGAAAGCCTTAAAACTGTGCGAGGAGGAAACAAAATGATGAATAACAATACCTCTGTTCACCTGGAGTGGGTTCGTGTCAATTTGAAAGCCCAGATCTGTGAAATAGAAATGAAAGATAAATAGAGAGTTCCCACACGAAGCACAATGATTTAAAATGCACCAATCTGTGTACCCCACAGACGCACAACAATATATTCGTATTGTGCTTTGTGTCACAGGTATAGAGGTGAAACACAGCATGAGTAAGCTTCTGATTTAAAGTTATCATCTTCCATTTATCAAATAATTGCAACAATTGAACCAATCTAATGTCCTATGACATCTTTAACCTAAACCTTTGCTTTATTAGGATCCATCATTGGAGTCAAACAACACTCTTAGGATTTGTTTATTTATTGTGTATCAAAAGCATTACATAAATTAGTATAATTTATACTAATTATAGTAATTAGTATACTAATGAGGAAATAAAATAGGGAGGATACCCTCCTCTTCATGACATCCTAACCAGGATGAAATAAAATATTGTACCTTGATATCAGAAATGGCAAACTTAGCATGAAATGTCTTTTAAAATGCAATGAAGAGATAGTATATAAGATTGTATTTATCTTACTTGTAGCTTGAACCTAATCAATTTTATTCACACCACTGGGTTTATCCACAAGGAAAGATACATAGGAGTGCAACCGTAGCATGAAACATAAGATTTTGAGGTAGATCTAAAACAGCCTTTGTCTCTGGATTTTTGGAGATGCAGTGGCTACGCTAAACTACGCCTTTCATATTTGCACTGAAACAAGGCAATTTGGAAGTGTGTACTTTGTTTTAGTGCAATGGTTCTCAATGTTCCTAATGCTGTGACCCTTAATACAGTTCCTCATGTTGTGGTGACCCCCACCATAAAATTATTTTGATTGCTACTTCATAACTGTCATTTTGCTGCTATTATGAATCATAATGTAAATATCTGTTATCCAGGATGTATTTTCATTCACTGGACAGAATTTAGCACAAATACCCAATATGCCCAAATTTGAATACTGGTTGTGTTGGGTGGGGGGGGGGGGGATTGATTTTGTCATTTTGGAGTTGTAGTTGCTGGAATTTATAGTTAAACTTTAATTAAAGAGCATTCTGAACTCCACCAAAATTGGCACACAGAACTCCCATGGCCAACAGAAAATACTGGAAGGGTTTGGTGAGCATTGACCTTGAATTTTGGAGCTGTAGTTTACATACATCCAGAGAGCACTGTGGACTCAAACAATGATGGATCCAGACCAAACTTGGCATGGATGCTCAATATGCCCAAATGTGAATACTGGTGGAGTTTGCAGAAAATAGACCTTGACATTTGGAAGTTGTAGTTGCTGGGATTTATAGTTCACCTACAATGAGAGAGTATTCTGAACCTCACCAACGATAAAACTGGGCCAAAATTCCCACACAGAACCCTCCTGACCAACAGAAAGTATTGTGTTTTCTGATGGTCTTTGGTGACCCCTATAAGACCACCTTGCAGCCCCCCCCCCAATAGAAGTCTTGACCCCCTGGTTGAGAAACACTGTTTTAGAGGGAGATTGTGCTCATAGAAGCCTCTGGGGCAGGTATTTCTTTTCTAAAACAATATATGCACTTCTCATGAGTCCTTATCAAATTACAGGAAAGGAGATTCCACATGAATATTAGGAAGAACTGCCTGACCATGAGAAATGTTCAACATTTCTCTGAGGCAGTGGAACTCTCTGCCTCAAAGTGTGATGGAAGCTCCTTCCTTGGAGGCTTTAAACAGAGGATGGATTATCATTTTTCAGGGGTGCTTTGATTGTGCTTTTCCTTCATGGCAGGGAATTGTACTAGATGGGCCATGTTGTATCTTCCAACTTTATTATTCTATGATTCTATGGTCATTTACTTTCCATAAACCAGAAGTGATGTGTTTCCACTTCCTGTTATTATTGCTGTTGTTGTAGTTTGCATTCAGATATTTTCTGCCTTAAGGAGACCC